ATTAAGAATATGCCATCATATGGTAAGTTCTTTAAGGACCTGGTGACTAAAAAGAGAAAATTCGAAGATGGAGAGAAGGTGGTCGTGTATGAGGCGGCAAGTGCTATGCAGCACGACTTGCCCAAGAAAGAGCGCGATCCCGGTGGTTTCATCATTCAGATAGCCCTGGGGAACGGGAAGGTAGCTTCGGGGATGCTCGACCTCGGAGCCGGAATTAATCTCATGCTCTTCTCGATTTTTCAGAGGCTTGGCCTTGGGGATTTGAGGCCAACTCGCATGTGCCTCCAGCTAGCAGACCGTTCCATCAGGTATCCCAAAGGAATAGTCGAGGATGTTCTCGTGCAGGTGGGTAAGCTTATCATTCCATTGGACTTCGTTGTTCTTGACGTCGGGGATGTGCACGAGAATGGGAAGGATCACACCATCTTTCTCGGGAGACCTTTCATGGCGACAACTAATACCCTCATTGATGTGAAGAATGACACTATGAATATGACGGTTCTGGGGGAGTCGGTGTCTATTTCTGTTCGAGGGGCCATGTCTTCATCTTCGGTAAATTTCATAGAAGAATGTGATTTTATTGATATTTCTGACCCTTTTGTGGATAAGATGGTATGTCAGGGGTTCGAAGACGGATTGTTGCCGGTTTTTGAGGAAGGGGAAGAGCCTACAGTGGAGCTTTTCGAAGCAGGAGAAGGTCATTCCCGAGCTGAGACCACACTTGAGTTTAAGGAGCTGCCCAAGCACCTTAAGTATGTTTTCTTGGATGATGCCCATCAGAAGCCGGTGATCATCTATGCTGAGCTCGACAGAGAAGAAGAAGAGGAGCTGATATCTATGCTCAGAAAGAACCAGAAGGCAATCGGGTGGAGCCTAGGAGACATCAAGGGGATTAGTCCCTCTACTTGTATGCACCGGATTATCTTGGAGGACGGAGCCAAGCCTTTTCGGGATAGCCATCGACGGCTAAACCCGAATATGATGGAGGTGGTGAAGAAAGAGGTCCTTAAGTTATTTTCTGAGGGATTGATCTACCCGGTGGCTAGTAGTGAGTGGGTCAGTCCTATTCATGTGGTGCCGAAGAAGAGAGGTATAACCGTGATCGAAAATGACAAGAAGGAGTTGGTCCCCACCCGCATCACT